GTGTTCATTTTTTACCTCAGGAGGATGAAGTGTAAGTGATCCAACAGAGCCTTCGACCGTTGAAATCCCTCAGCTGTGAACTGAACGCACTGTCAGTTGAACAACCTTGGTCTAGACCGATGAGGAGATAGTTTTTCTGCAATTCGTGGACCTGTTGGATGAACCGTATTGTCATTAGGTACTGTGGTGTATTTAAGAGATGCCACGGCGTAAGTGACGATAGGGCTTCATTGCCAGTGTGCACTAAGGAGAAGTGAAATTGATAAGTGGATCGTTACTATTTCCATGCATATTCTAGTACAAATTTTTCATGCCCACGTTCACTTGCATCCACCTAAAAATCAACCAAATCTTTCATTGATCTTTCGTTGCTTTTAAGTACAGAAATTGGAATCGTTGTCTAACGGCTTAGCAAATTCGCGCAGCACGGCAGATACTATTCAATGTGCTTCGCAGACTAATGGAGCTTAACTGATGCAGCCATTTTGAGTGCAAATTCAGGCCTGAACCTGTCAAAGTCAACCCACTGCTGTGGGGACTAAATGTATTTTTGATTAGAAGACAGACTGAGCAGCTTCGCAGGCCCCAACCTGTCTTCACTGATGATCTTGAACGCGGAATATGAACCAACAAGGAAGTCAGATACAAGCGTCAGAAGCGAAATATGGCAGAGACTCTTTTTTCTACTTCTCGAGTACTTCTTCAGAAGTACTGCTAGTGTGACAAAGCAGTAGGATTACCGCAAACCCAGATACATTTGCATAGGAACTGCACCCATAAAATGCAAAAGTTTCAATTGCGGTGATTTAGAACCGTGATTAAGAGGGTTGGAAAGGAACTGAGTTGGCTAAGCCGCAAGAGAAGCGACAAATGGCAGACTGAGGGCCAGGTTATTCGATGATGCTGAGGGTCTGCATCGCTGTGAAACTGAAACGATGAAATCCACTGGACGGAGCTTCTTTGATTATCAAAAATCCGGACCATTGGTGAGCATTCCTGAAGTTGTGTATTCTGTTAGCAGAAAGAAGCGCTTCCTTTCTCTCGATCTTGCTCTACCACGACAACTTCGCTCAGTGCGCCAAACACTCATGATAACTCGTACTGCAAGCTGTGCTGAAGTAGGACAATTGAAATGAGGTTCAGAAGTCTCAAGTTGATGCTTTGTATCAACCACGTTTTAATGAAGCTCTTAACTGTGATTGGCTGTTGAAAATCTTTCCAAAGAAGTTGCAAAACTTATGACTACCCAGGTACGAAGCAACTTCATGTAAAGAGAAGTACCGTATGCTGCAACAAAGAACATTCCATTTTTTGTATTCTCTCTAGGTCCAATGATAATAATGAAAATTAGTCACAAACCTGCCTTAGCGGTCGATTATGGATGGATTCAGGACCGTTAGCGAGAAACCGACGGTCGTTGCATGCCATTACACTGTCTGTAGAATCAGACGAGATGCTCTGGAGTTGCACAACGCTTGAAGTCTTCAAGCTTGGTGAAACATCTTATTCATTCCTTCCATCTACTCTCATGAAGTCAGAGTACCTAAAATCTAGCTTTGTAAAAACAGAAGTCAAGAATCATATGATTATAAATGGGTGGCATGGAAGCCTGGAAAACAATGGGCGACGCTAAACGCACCCAAACGTATGATCGCAACGAGCGTAGATGGTAAATGAGAAACTGCACAGGTAAACTGCCTAGCAATTTCCGGGTACAGTAAGGTTCGTGTCTGTCCCCACTGCTTTAAACTCTCATATCAGCAACTGTAGACTCTAATCTATCGCGACTGTGCAGTGCCGTTGTTGCAGTTGTTAGAAACCATGAAGACCTGGAAAAAAATAGGAGCGATATGAAGAAACTGCTAGACTCGTCCCCTCAGACTCATTTTTCCTTAATTTGATCAAGTGTG